CGAGTCAAAGTAAATTTTCGTCGTCGTTTTCTTTTCAGAATCGGACCTAAATTTTCATCATTTCTCAACGTCGTCTGGACGTCCAAAGACCCTCAAACAAGGTCAATGTACAATGAACAATACCTGCGAAAATAGGGTTTCGCGCTGAATGTATGAGTTATGACACTTGTTTAGGGTGTCCTCGTTAAACACAGAACGGTCCCTGTGTTTGACTGTACGAACGAACGTCACCCCAAAACTTGGACACCGGTTCGACTAGGGGTCTGGTTCCCGAGATAGGTGACGCCCGGTTTGGACCCTTTGTTATCACACGTTCCCCCCCCTTCTTTCCTCTATTCCCCCCTTCTTCCCCCTTCTTCTTTTTTCTCCTCTTTCCTCTCTATTTTCTCTTTTTCGTCCTTTTTTGGCTAAGAGAACGAGGGACAAGGGGAAGACATCGTACATTTTCAGAAAATATATGTCTTCCATGAAATTATTCTTGGTTGTTGCATACCAAACAACTGGATTATTGTGAACACAATACGTCACATTGATAATTGTGTAAAGATAATTTTAAATATATAAAGATTATTATAATTCATTTTCATAGATGAAGTAAGTTTCAAATAATGTATTTATAAATAATAAAAAATAGTCCCTAATCAAAACTTCATGGGTTATACCTGACGACGAGTAGCACAAACACACGACACCTATTTATTAATTGTCACCATTTGGTAATGTAAATTATACTTTATTCTTCCATAACCACCAATACTACATAAAGAAAATTGTTTTGTTTCTCTTTTGGGATATCCTGTAAGATTTGTATCGTGAGGTGAGTTAAATAACCTGTCAGTGTATGCAACTATCTTGGTTTGGGAAATAAAATTTCATCGAAGATTGAATTATATTACATTTTGTTGGGTATTTTCATTCTTGCCACTTCATTATTGTTTTATTGTGAGATTTACTCAAAATTGTATTATATTGTAATTAGTATTTGAATTTTTTATATAGTATAGTATATATATATTTATTTATAGTTTCAATATGTGCCTTGAAATATTCGTAATTTATTCACAGGTCGACAGGTACGGAGACCACCCACCTTATATGTTAAAACAATACAGGAGGTTGGTACGACGAGAAAACCGTTTGTTACATCAAAGCGTGATGAGGGACATGACCGTCACAGGTCACAGGCGACAGGGTTTGGAAAGGGTGGTGGAAGTGTGAACAAACCCGTCATGAGAAACGCCCAGTCACCAAACCGACATACCTCGTCTTCGTCCTGATCCCTCGTCCTTTTCGTCTCCCTCGACGGTAAGTCTGCGGACACCTTCCGTCACTGGCTCCTGTCCTTGACACTCGAGTGACCAGATATATATATCTCGGTTTTCCAACCTCGTCCCTTCTCGACGGTTGGTGGTGTACTTCCTGGACTCCACCTAGTCCCTTTCTCGAATGTAGAGGTGGACACCTGGACTCCCACCTCGTCCTTGTCGACGTAGAGGTGGACTCCTGGACTCCCACTCTCGTCCCTTGTCGACGTAGAGGTGGACTCCTGAGCTCCCACCTCGTCCCTTGTCGACGTAGAGGTGGACTCACCGGTCTCCCACCTCGTCGCCTTCTCGTACGTAGGGTTGGATTCCCGGTCTCCCACCTCGTCCCTTCTCGACGTAGAGGTGGACTCCCGGTCTCCCACCTCGTTCCTTCTCGAGCGTAGAGGTGGACTCCCTGGACTCCCACCCTCGTCCCTTGTCGACGTAGAGGTGTTACTCCTGGGACTCCCACTTTTGGTTAATGAACATTTGGGGCTAGTAACCCCAGGGAATCAGTGTTTGGGGACTCTGTCCTGGCTGGTTTTCTCTGTGTATGCTGCTCGGGACGTATGTGCCATACAAGCGTACACAGCTCATGTTCGGAGAAACCTTAAAGAAAGGCATCAGTAAAATGGAACTTCTGTGTGAACTATTCATATCTTAAACTGCACTGTAACTTTTTATTCATGTACTTTTTATTCATGTACTTTTTATTAATGTATTTTTTCTTTTAATGTTTCTTTTATTATCTTTTCTTTTTAATGACTGTTTTTAAATGCCTTTGTCTGAATGTCTTTCATTTTTGTAAAGCACCTTGAATTGCCTTGTGTTGAAAGGTGCTATATAAATAAACTTGCCTTGCCTTGCCTATAATCAGTTAGTCATATTCATAATCTCAGTTGTAGTACTGTTTCCAAATGTTGCTGCTGCTTTGAAACTGCACTCTGTAGCTTGGCACGGTGGTGGGCACAAATGGCAACCTGAGGTGACTGTTCACTTTAAAGGGTAAATCAATAGTATTTGCAGCGGGCAGAAAACTCCTGCTGCACATCTTTCTATGGTTTTAACTTTCCAACATGTTGCTTTTTTGGCTAAACCCAATTCAGTGATGTCAGAGAAAGCATTTGTTTGATAACGATTGATCATTTCTAACTGATTGTGTAAACAGTTTATATTTCCAGGCGTCAAACAACAAATTTATGACCAAGAAAGATTTAACAAAGGAGACTTTACTCCTATATTTCAACCTACCCCGTTGATTACATATCCAGGGTCGGACCATAAAATGATGGGGAGGATTCGATCATTTTTGGCAAAGTGGAGGCGCTCTGGCATCTCCTCCTTCTTGAACACATGGAGGTGTGGATGTGACCCCTTCAAAGCGTCATAGACCTTCTGTAGCTTGCCCGGCTTAGGCAACAGCATCCCAGAAGGCCCAAAGTCCACCAGGTGAAAGGCAATGTCGCTGAACGAGAACCCCGGGATTTTGGACAGCGTGATCTCTTCGACTAGACCATTTCGGTACACCGCGCTCATGCCGTGGTCTGCTGTGATGATGATGTTCAGTCTGTCGTTCAGCCCGTGTTGTTCGGCCGAATGTCGAATGTAGCCCACCGTCCGGTCCACTTGCTTCACCATCTCCTGTCGCTCCGGGGAGTCGGGGCCGTACCTGTGACCGATGCCGTCTGGCTCCCCAAAGTAAAGGGATATGAAGTCCAGATCCTGGTTGCTGAACCAGTCCATCACCTTGTCTACGTTTTCTCGCCAAGCAGTCTCATTCTTGTAGTTGTAAAATATTGGCTCAACTTCCTGCACCATAGCAACCTCTCCCTGGTAACTGGATGCTGTTCCAGGAAAGTGTAGAGAGCCAGATTTAAGGCCCTGGGAGGGTAGGAAAAATACACATTACCGCCCACATATAAATATAACACATGTACTGTACTTGACATGTTTGAAAGCATGCCATGGGTTGATCTGTATACTGTGGGTTAACATACATAGAAACCAAATCAGTTGGTTCTGGATTTAAATTAACTTCTTTAACCTGCCTCTTAACTTTTAATTCAATTTTACAGAAACAGATTTTTTTCAGCAGGCTTGTATAGGTGTTTTGTCAAGAGAAATGGTTTCTAGTGCTGCAAACTGCAAAACAATGTCTCAGAGAGATAAGATGGGAATTGTTCTGCACAGACCTGTCGCTGCGCTGTGATCCAGATAGGCAGAGTACCATTGTCCCACCACTCATTCACAAACTGAGTCTGATAGTAAGGCTTCTTCTCAGTGCTGGTTGTGTTGAACCACATGTTGTGGATTACCCCGTGATTCTCAATGTAGCGGCCTACAGAAGAGAATCACTGTCAGTCTGCTTGCACTCATTATTCACAGCGTGACACATTCACATTAGAAATTCTATCAACTTAACGGGCTGAGTGGCATGAAGCTTTTGGACAAGGTCTTATGACCAACTTCGGAGATTAGAGGAATTTAATTTCAAGGAAGTTACATTTCTTTTAGCTGGCTATGATGATTTGAGAGTCAAAATAAGAAAAGAAGGAGGGAATTCTTCCCTCAGTCATCCAAGTATAATTATCTTACTCAGCTATAAAAGCTGTTGGACCCTGGGACATTCAATTACAACTAATTCCCTTTTCCCGTGGCTTTTTTTCAATCCTAGCAAAGTAAATTCAGAGCAGTTTCCTATTCCGCCATGATATGCAGATCCCCTGCCAACAGGAAGCACTGTGGTAGAAAATGAAACACTTTACCTGTCAAGAGGCTGAAGTGTGCTGGACTGGTGATAGTGAGGTAAGGAGGTGTGACATACAGGGCTTTGACTCCGTCCTTGGCCATTTTGTCAAGGTGTGGGGTGTCCACATCGCGGTCGTAATCCCACCGGAATCCATCGAAGGAGATCAACAACACCTTCTGTCTCTGTTTGTTTGCCGGGGCTCCAAGAATGGACGGCGCCAAGAGGAGGCAGAGACTTGCAATCCACAGCATGGCAAACACTTCCCAGATCTACACTGACTATATCCCGCAGCTGACACTCTCACTTACAAAAAGATCCACCTCTTTGTCATCTCACCTGAGAGCTCTGGAGCCAACCGTTTGTGAACAAAGTTTCACTAACGTATCTTATCTCGTAGATTGGACAGACTTTATCATAGGACCTTTTTACCCTACATTGGGCCTGATGGTGTTAATGATTAATTGTTATGACTAAGAGTTTTGTTCACAGCGAATTCCCCCCCACCTCATGTTTTGCTCTTGAGGACTGGCAGTAAAGCAGATTAATCTCTCCGGATATCATGGCTGTTTGTTTCCCCCTAACTCGCTTGTTGATGCTGTCTTTCTGTTTGTCTGCCCACCTGTCTGTGTGTCGGAGTTTCCTCTGAATCATTGACAATGGGGAAACGACACTTTGATGCGTTTCACCTTGACTTGGGATGGTGCATGATTGATCTGACACCAGGAAAATGAAGAGGAAAATGAGAGTATATATCTCTTCATCAGAGTAGTGGTCTCTCGGGAATAGAAGACCCTAATAGTCATATTCATTTTAATAACTATACTAACTTTACCGCCCCAGGATATTGTTAAAATCTACATTGATTTTTGACAGTGGACAACCTATTAAATTATGAACTGCAGCCTCCTCAGTGTTTCTCCTTTCGGATAATACTCGTTGTTCTCTTACAGACATTATATATATCACCACATTATCAACGTCCATCAAATTGCTACACAAGCTAACTCTTCAAATTTGTTCTTTATTGTGTGTGTGTCCTTGGCAGAGGTTCAAGGGAATTGTCCAATCTTTATGGAGATAAGGGATAACATTCATCAGCTTTCATTTACCTCATTCATATTCATTAGCTTTCTCATATTAACTCTATACGCTCGTCTCCTCTGTCAGCAAGATTTGGAGGAGTGTTTTGGACTGCCGAGACTCGTGCAAGTGTCAGATCTTTGCACGGATAACTTTATCAAACACACACAGGCTGAACTTGAGGGGCAAGCAAACTTGATCTGACCCTCTCAACCCTGCACAGAGTTCCCCTCGGGATCCTCACATTTTCTTGAAGAAAAAGGTGAAGTCTCTGCCTTTAGCACTCCCTGCTGCCCATCCACAACCACTGCAGTACACCTGACCAAGATAGAAAGCCAAAACAGTAGCATTAGTTTGAGCCAGAGAACATTACTAATTCACAAATAAATAACATGGTATTTCCCAAGCTGAAGGTACATTATTTGTTATCTTTTAGCAACGTTTCTGTTCATGCAGACTTACAGTATGCTGCATGTTCATGATACCTTAAGTTGCTTAGAAACTTTGGACATAAGTGTCCATATATATATAATACGTGTACTACAAACTTTTGAATCTGTCTCTACAAGCCAAATAACTTTTGAGTAAACTTGTCTTCCCGGAAGAATTCTTAGAGTTTTTGTTTTTCTAGGGTTGTCAACCTTCATCTTTTACAACATAACAACAACCATCAGATCATTTCCATATATCGAACATACAGTACATTTATGAAATTTAAATCATCCAATGAGAGAAAGGCTAAATTGTGTTGATAGGTGAAAAAAGCACACATTGAGGGTTATTCTGTACAGACAGCATCTTAAAGCATCCCACAATAAAAAATCTTTAAGAAATGCAAAACTAAATAATGCAAAAATGATTACCCTATTCACGAAAGAACATTTTAACAACATTCATACCAAAAACACCTGACAAAGTCAAATAATTAGAAAATGGTAATATCAGGTATATCAAGCACCATTATTTAATACAAATATTGATCACATATATTTATAATTTGGGAAATGACATGACTAGTTGACTTTATTGAGTGATACTTTGGTAATTCAACTTGTATATTATAACTATATTTAGCATGGTTGTAATGCATGTTCATATACCCGATGAAGGTTGATGTAATCGAAAATAAACCAACATTAATCCATAGTGGTACACCTACACTCAGGTTTGCATAGATATTTTTCAGTTATTTGACAACATATTTTCAGGTCTTTAAAGATTAGTCACATGAGATTTGGATAACAACACGAACACCAAATACATATTTTTTGAGGATGCTGTTAGCATATTTACTTTTACATAAAGTGCCTCTGAATAAACATGAAGAGTAAAGCTGCTGGGTTCGAGCCAGAGAACATGTAAGTAGGTGTTTAGGGCTGTATGCCTGGATGTAAGGATGCATTCTAATCTTTATACAATAGACCTAAATGTCACTCGAGTTGTATAAAATTATGCAATTTTTTATCATCTAAATGCGGTATTTCAGTTAAACATTTGGAGTTTTATTAAAACAAAACATTCTCAGATGCAGTATTTATGAGTATACTTCAAACAACAAAAATGTTTGAATTTCAACAATACCCATAAAATGTTTACTCTTAAATCTGACTTGCAGATGAAAGTGACACGGCTATCCATTCAATCTTAACTGCATCTGTATTCTGCTCACTTGGCAGTTTGAATGGCAAGCTGCTTCTCTCCCTGCTGTGACTGGAAGTAGACCATCAGGTTCATGCCAGCGTGCCGATATCGATGTGTTTTGATTTGTGAGCAAACAAACTCTCTGAATGCATGAATGGCTTATTATCAGGTTACATGCAAGTAAGTTCAAGCGTAAAAATTCAAACAAGAAAACTCCTCTGGAGGTGCACCGTACTCTCACTCTGATAAAAAGTGTTTCATTGATACCACATCATTTTAAAATTTCAAACATAGTCGTCACGCTGGATAAAAATGTTGTTTTATTAGTTATGGTAGCAAGCAATGGAGGAATCTAAACAAGGCTGAATTTGAACTAATATCAATCTCATATTAGAATATTTGGAAACAAGGAGACTTTTGCAAAAACCTTAAAGCATGGCTCATTATTAACCATCTTCCTTTAGATATTTTTGGAAAAACGGTTAATTGTCAGTCAGGTAAATGTTTTTCACTTGGATCTTTGTATATATTTATATAGTATATTTGTGTATATATATATATATATATATATATATATATATANCTCTGATTGGCTTACCCTGAAATGTTACCCTGCGTGAACCAATCATCACTCCTCTCTGGTCACTTTCACTTTTCCATGGTACTGTGAGAGGACATCACTGTATTCAGTGATGTCCTCTCACAGTACCATGGAAAAGTGAAAGTGACCAGAGAGGAGTGATGATTGGTTCACGCAGGGTAACATTTCAGGGTAAGCCAATCAGAGACAGAGTTGAGCAGGTCTTGCCTTATGGGGAAAATACCCAGACACACAAACACTTGCTAACACACACACATACACGCCAACACCCACCACCAGCACACACACACGCAATGGCAGATGCAAGTATCAGCGAGAGCAGCAGCGCGTTTACAACTTGGAGATACAACCACTATTTTCAATTTGTGGGGATAAAGGACGCAAAAAATATTACGGTCAAATGTAAACTGTGTGCAGGACATAAAGCATTGTCCACATTGAATAACAGCAATGCCAATCTCCTGAAGCACCAAACTAATGTACATGGGGCTATAAGACTAGTCGCCAAAGACCCCACCGCCTCAACCACCGGCAGTGACAACACCATCTAAACAGCCAAAAAACAATTTCTTTTAAATCGCCACATGTCACCCAGAATCAACTAAACAGATTGATTGCCAGGTATGTTGTTGAGGACATGCTGCCCATCGCAACGGTCGAGTCTATTGCCTTCAGAGAACTAGTCAGCAAAACACCAGTGAAAGCAGTGAAAGCAGGGCCACAGTGCAGAAAGACCTTTTCCAACTACCTGGACATTGAATATGTTAAAATGGAAGTTGAGCTCAAAAATAAATTTGATGAATTAGAATATCTCTCTACGACTGCAGATATATGGACTGCACATAATAAAAGCTTTCTTGGTGTAACCACACATTGGATAAATCCACAGAAAATGCAAAGTAGGAAAGCAGCGTTGGCATGCAGAAGATTCAAAGGTCGGCATACCTATGACAGTATTGCAACTGAGCTAGATAACATTCACTCATCTCATGGCATATCCCGAAAAATCACAGCAACTGTCACGGATAATGGCTCTAATTTTGTCAAGGCCTTTAAAGATGATGATGATGATGATGATGATGATGATGATGTAGATGCTGTGATTTATTTACCTCCACACCAGAGATGTGCATCACACACATTGAACCTCATCTCATGCACTGATGTGGATAAGTGGTTACTGTCAACACCTGAAACAAAAGCAGTCTACAGAAACGCTACCACAAAGTGTGCAGGGTTGTGGAACAAGGCTAGTCGATCATCAGCTCATGGACGACATTATTGCAAAGAAGCTGCTAGTACCTTGCACAACTAGGTGGAATTCGTTTTATGATGCCCTGGCTCGAATTTCTGGGATACCGGTGGTGGAGTTCAAACATTAAATAGATGAAATGTATCAGTGAAAGGGAACATCAGTTTCTCAGAGAGTACTGTACTGTCATGAAGCCAATTACTGTGGCACTGGACACTTCCGACTTCAACAAATCTTCATGCGACTTCAACTGCTAACTGTTAATTCATACTTTCACTCAGAAACCTCATTCCANTTTTATGGCACACTCCTACCCACACTGGAAATATTGATGTCCAAGACTCTGGAAATGAAGAATGAACTGCAAATCCTCGTTGGCCTACCAGAGGCAATTGTGCAGGTAAGAACTGTTATTTTCTTTTGCATTAAAAAAAATAATTATATCAATCAGCCAATTGCATTGTATTTATAAATGTCACTCATATGGGTGTATAGGCTGTGTGACATTGTGATTCATAATGTACTGTATTAGCCCACATGTGTATGTACTGTATGAGACAATCAACCTGCAAAGCATTTTAGTTGTAAAGTGTACAACATGTACAACATATAGGTTAGGCCTACACATGTTGTGGCCCTGAAATAAAATGCATTATGAAACTATGCATACGTAATGTAAAATGTAATCTTTTTTTCTTTCTTTCTTTCAACTATGCTCATTATGTATACAGTATGAATACCTCTTGGTATGCATTGCACAGACATTGCCTTACTGAAAAGCATCTCAAGGTATTACTTATAAGGCTGGAAGCACCTCTTCTTAAGTTTATCCACCATTATCGATTTTGTTTATGCTAAATGGCCAGATGTGAGGTAAATTATTTCAGTTAGTTTGTTTTTGTGAGGCTGAAAATAGTTTGTTTGTCTTCAGTGTCAGTCTGACAGTTTATTATTTATTTAATTGTTATTGCCAAAAGAGTGTAGTTGTTGTTTAATTGTTACACTGCCAAAAGAGTGTTCTTGTTTAATTGTTACACTGCCAAAAGAGTGTAGTTGTTGTTTAATTGTTACACTACCAAAAGTGTGTAGTAGTTGTTTAATTGTTACACGACCAAAAGAGTGTAGTTGTTTTTATTTAATATTGCACTACAAGTGCACTACTTAGAACTTGATTGTTGAGGCTACAATAAAGATGCCTGTCAAAATGTCTAAACATATCTTTTTTGTTTTATTGTTCCACTACATTTCATAATGATAATTGCTACAATGATGGGGAGTTGTCTTTTCTCTTACTGTGCCACAGAACAACACAAAAACTTGTATTTGTATTGTTATTTTTTTTAAAGTAAAGTAACTTGTTACCAGTTACTTTTAGAATTTAGTAACTAATAAAGTAATTAGTTAACTATAGTAACTATTACCAGTTACTTTTTAAAAGTAACTTGCCCAACACTGCATATAAGTGAACTTTACTCAAATAAATAAGTCATTGCCCTTAAGAACATGTTTCTCCTTTCGACCACTAGGAGGAGTTGAAAACATCACTAAATGGACTGAAGAAGAGGAGGGTGCAATTTGAGAAAGTCACACAGAACTGTGAACATGCATCCAGACATAACCAGGTAGAGGCCGAACTCACAGAGGAGCACATGAAGAAGGAGTTTGAGAGCCTTCACCAGTTTTTGAGAGAGCAGGAAGCAGCCAGGCTGCTCGTCCTCAGGGAGGAACAGAAGGAGAAAAGGAGAGAGGCAGAAAAACAGGTAGACGAAATGAATCAGCTGATAACATCTCTGGAGGAGAAGGTACAACTGGTGGAAGAGGAGCTAGATGCAGGAGGAGAAGGGGCTGGATTTTTAAAGGTAACACAAATCATATGTTTCACAAAAAGTATATAAATGTCAGGTGTCTGTATTTTAAACAGCAACCTTGAAACTTTCTTTTCTACAGCAATACCAAGACACAATGAATAGGTACAGTATGTGACATTTCAGGGTATTCTTCACACACAATCACATACAAATGAAACGGTACAACTGTATTTTAATGTTCATGTGTATGTACTGCAGTACCTGTACAGGTGACAGGGAACCACAGAAGGTTTGCAGACCTCTGATCGATGTGGCCAAACACCTGGGAAACCTCCAGTATGCTGAATGGGAGAAGATGAAACACATTGCCCCCTACAGTCAGTTTAATTATATTTACAGTGTGTGTATGTGATTACTTCCTGCTCCCTTCTTCAGTACCCTCTGACCCCCCTCTGTGTCTTCCAGCTCCTGTGACCCTTGACCCCAGGACAGCAGGCCAGTCTCTGAGGGTGTCTCCCGGGTTAAACAGTGTCCATTTCACCCCTGGACCCTCACAGTGTCTGGATGTCCCAGCTGACCCAGAAAGTTTCCACCCTCATTCCTGCATCATGGCAAGAGAGGGCTTTGAATCAGGAGTGCACTGTTGGGATATTGAGGTATTCAAATCCTGAGTCTGATAATTATACCTCAACTATGAGTAATAATTATTGGGCAATAAGACCTCAGAAAATAGTATCAGTCTCCACTGTGCCCCCACCCTCTGGAACTCACTCCCACAAAATAATCATAGACAGTACTACCCTCCCCACCTTCAAAACACCAGCCGAGACTCACCTTTATAGACTCGTTTTTTAAATCTGTGATTGATGCTGTGTCCTTGTGATAAATATGTATTTATTGCTTGATTTGAATTAGACTTTTTATCTTATCGTTTTTTTTTTTTAACTCTGTAGACGTCTTTGAGCACCTGATAAAGCGTTTGATAAATAAAAATGAATTATTATTAAGATACATTTATCTCTGAGCTGCCAGGCTATGATATCCATCATGGTATTTAATCTTGTTCCTCATTGTTTTCAATAGGTTGGTGACACCAACAGTTGGGCAGTCGGTGTGGCTGCTCACTCAGTGTCCAGAGGTGCAGATATGATGGCCTGTCCCGAGGCAGGACTCTGGTGCATCAGCCTGCGAGAAGGAGAGTACCTGGCTCTGACCGCTCCCACTCAGAAACTCAACCCACAACACCTCTCTAAGCTCTGTGTGAGGCTGGACTGGGATGAAGGGACGCTTGCATTCTTGAACACTGATACTGAAACACATATTTTCACGTTTAAACATTGCTTTACTGAAAAGGTGTACCCATACTTTGAGAGTACATCGTTGTATGGGGGCTTTTCAGTGTTGGCTCAGAGAGTGAAGGTCAGCCTGGGGTCAGATGATGTCCCTGAAGAGGACACTGCTATCCTTGAGGAGGATCAGGTGATAACAAATGACTCCTGGAAACAGGGAGACATTAACGCTCTTTCAACAAACAACAACGGCAAGAAGTGTGAACGTCTGAATGAAGACAAGAAATCCAAACCTCAGGGGGGCACCTTGAAGAACCATATCATTAAAACAAAACCCGCTGAGCAAAATTCAAAAGATAAAACCAAAAAACAGAGCACCAAACCCAGGTTCAGTGTGAGCTACCATGTGTCACTAAACAGAGCCCTAAACATCATCAACAATGAGTCTGACAGTCACAAACAAATCCAGATGAATCATGTTGATCATTTGGTTAATCCTGAATGTGTTAAATAACAAGAGCCGACAGCCATAATGAATTACAATGCCATCATTACCATTCGTACTAATGTTATTCTTGGTTTTAAGTTATGCTAGAAGCTTGCCTCCAGGATTGGAAATTACAATCAGTGATTGCCGTTGTTAGGGAATAATTTGCTTAGGTATTCAACCTTTGACACAATTCATAATTTTCACTTTAATTCTCACTGTCTCTTTTCTCATGGCATAGGTCTACGGCCTTGGGTATTGCTGCTATCTCTCTTAAGGAGGGGCAGCTTGGGCGCATTGTTGTTGCCAGTCTATGACAGAGCACAAGCCGCCATGAGGTAGCTACTGTTCAGGGACGTAGGTTCCCTGGCGCACATTCTTTTCTATGGACGAGAGCTCTAGTTAGATTCAGGGTCCATAATGTTTAGTCTCGCTGATGAAGAATGTTGATTATTACACTCCGAACTAGTTAAAACCTCGAGCTGCAGAAGAAGTTCTTCAGAATTGGTTTGGCAACCACTGTGTCAACTCGTGACACACCACCTGTCTTGTCAATTCTCCGGCCGAAACTCCAAATAAACCGTCAGAGTTTGACATCAAAGCTCCAACTCTCCTCGTACCTCTCTGAGTCCTGACTCTCCATTGCTACAGAAGTTTCCCTTACAGCCGTATTTTCAGAGAGTCATGTTCCCTAGAGGGTGAATCCTGATGATGTTGGTGATCCCTTGACTTTTCATTAGAGCCGACAAGAGGTTGACATTTGTATCGTCTTTAAAATGTCCCAACTAGTGGATATATTGTCATGCCATTTGGTACGTACAATCGTGTATTTGTAAGAGGGAAATGTTATTCATTTGATGATTCCTTGACTCAGCATTTAGCCTCGCGTGGCCGATATTTCAATTTGTCCAGTATTTTGGTTTATTAACAAATACCTGCAAAATGAATACCTCTATGGTTCTCATCACTTGGACTTTGTGTTTGGTGCTTATAGCAAATGTTACTTCACTGTCAGCTGCTAGCATAGGTGTACTCTTAGTCTAGTTTTAAATACATTATGAGTTGATTATATTTAATGCTGTTTTATATTGTGATGAACATATATATTTGCTGTGAGCTCATCAGTATTTTACCTTCTGGAATTGATTTACATCCCAACAACAGAAGATAAAAAAAGAAGTTTTACAAATCTGAAAGTTGAATTTTTCCAGTCTTGTCACAGTTTTTTGGATGATATGTTTAAAACTCTTCATAATGTCTTCTGTTCAAATGCGATCCAAAAAACTGTATTAAAAGTGTTGTTTTTCAAAATATGTGTTTTTATTTAATTGCAGAAAATAAAAAGCATCACAATCAGATATTTACATCAGTATTTACCATCGATATTTACAGACGTGTTTGTGCCTGTAAATAGGTCCCTATGTTTCCCTTCTCTCTATTTACACTTTAAAATATGAACATTATCTTCTTTAACAGCCTCTTCTGTCTCATAGACACACCGTCCCCTCCATGATGGAGTTATATAGTTCCTCAGTAACAGCCTCGTAGCACCCAGCCCGACTGTTCAGAAAATACATCTTCTCACTCTCGTCTTGTGGCTTGTAACCTTCCTTCTGCAGCCGGGTTTTCTGGATTTTAAAGGTACCTGATGACAAAAATGAAAACGTAACTTCAGGTGTGACTTTGTGAATGTGTGTGTTTGCGTGTCCTTGCATCTATGAATCACCTGTAGTGTCAACAGATGGCATAAGTCGCAGGAAGACGGGCCGTGCGTAGGGCGGCAGGGCTTTCTGTACAGCGATGAAGAACGCATCGAGGTCAAACTGGCCTCCTGTGTGTGCTATTGCTGCCATACCAGCCTTCCCCTCCACTCCTGCATGCAGACAGACAAGTGAGGTCATAAACAGGCGACTATAGGATGTAACACCAGTATTAAGCCCCTAATCTTTTGTCTTGCATTCATGTGTGAATGTTTCTTCCCGTCCTGAGACTGTCTGGCCTCACCTGGTACAGCAGCTCCATAGACGGCTACAGCAGTGTGTCCCAGCAGGCGGCTGAGGACCCCCTCCACCTCTGTGGTGGAAACGTTCTCCCCTCGCCAACGAAATGTGTCGCCGCTGCGGTCCCTGAAATATATGTAGCCGTATTCATCCATCACCAGCATGTCACCTAAAGATAAGAGACAGAGAGACAGAAAACAAGGACAGCCAGAGAGAGGAAAACAGACAAGAGACAAACATAAAAATAGTCATCATCCCTGTAGGGCATCACAGAGTATCAGACAAAGACAAGGTAAAGTCTGTATTGATGATGACTCATCAGTACAGGTTTGACTTTGATCTGATCGGATGATGATTCATTTGGCTCCACTGTGTTGTTTGCAAATGTGTCAGTTTTCTCATGATTACTTGTCGCATGCTTTCTAATGTCTCCTTAGGCCACAGTGTGTAACACCCTGAGTGTGTCTGTGGGTGTATGTAGTTCAGTTGTGTTTCTCTGGGGAAGAATCGTCATTTCAAGGGTTAAATAAAGTGTAGTGTATCTATTGATCATCATTTGTTGTGGCTTTGTGCAATGGGTTTCCAGTCCTCAATCACAGACAGTGAATCACTAACAATTACATTTTTATTTAAAGTCTCCAATCCAGCTGTGTAATACTGTAAGTCTTCAGACTGTGGGAGGAAACATGTATGAACCCAGACAGTCCATCATCATTACAGCCCAGTCAAGCTTTCCGAACAGACATGGGCTGATACGGAACAATGACCAGTAAACGTTTGGGCTTTTTAAACTGGGTGCAGGTTTTTCTTGCTGCACACCAATATTCTCCCAAACTGTAGGTGGGCAAAATATCGAGAACTCATGTTTGGTTTTGTTGAAGAGTTTAATTTAGAAAATGATAATCTAAGAAGAGGAGCGACTGTGTTTCGATTTGACCTGCTGTGATAGAACAGAAAGAGGACATGAAACGAGGGCTATATTTATGTAAATAGGTGTTCGTATAGCCTCACTTCCTGCCACACGGAGCTTCTTATATTTCTCAATTTTCTTCCATCTGCATTCACTTAGTTAGAAAATGTAAAATGTGCACAGACGTGCAAAAACCCGCCGCACAGGACCCCCATAAAGGGTTGCGCATGATGGTTTTACATCACCTTGTGACCACTTGGGACCCTGGCAGATGTGTAAAGCATAAGTCAAGCTTTGATCTGACTGTGTTCTAAAGAGACACAACGAAACATACCTGAGACATAAGCAGAATCCCCCATCTTGAAGACATTGTGAGCTATTTTCTTATTGGTGGACTCCTCATCCACATAGCCGTCAAACCTCCGGAGAGGATCAGTGTCGGTGATCCGTCCCACTAACATGCCCAGCTCACCTGCAGAAAACAGAGACATGGGAGAGGAAATAAAACATTTTCAAACATGGCTACTAAGCTGTGTGTAAGTTCTCACCAGGCAGACATGGAATACAGAGTCCTTGTGAATCCCTGAGCAGCTCTCCGTTCACCTCCTGCATCCTGATCAGCCTGATGGGGTAAAAGCTCGGGAGGATGCGACTGTTGAAGCCGCACGCCCCCACCTGAACATGAAGGACATGACGTGAGACAGGATGCAGTTTGGAAAATCCTACACTCTACCTTTAAGACATACAAAACACACACCTGTCCGTCTATGTTCAGGAGGCTGCAGTTGCACTCTGTGGCGCCGTAAAATTCCCCAACTCGCCTGATTCTGAATCTCTTGACAAACTCCTCCCACACAGTAGGACGGAGGCCATTACCGATGGCAACACGCACCCGGTGATGTGCCTCTGATGAACGGACCTTTTGGGCCAACAGGTAACGACAAATCTCGCCTATGTATTGAATTACCTTGACAAAAAATAGATTTTTTTTAATAAGTTGGACAGTCTTTGTTGATCATTTATCTTGGTGGCAGTGTGTACTCACAGTGCAGTTGTGTTTGACACAGTCCTCCCAGAAGCGACTGGCTGAGAACTTTCTTCTGATTACAACGGTCAAACCAAAAAGCAAACACTGGCCGACACCCATGATGGTACCTGTATTTCCCATAAACACAGTAAGTGAAATGCACACAAAAAGTAGGAAAATATGATGATTATGGTCAACTATGGCCCAAATCAGACAGAACGCATTTGAAAGATGGGGTCAAATCTTATTTAATTGATTTTGATGAGAGAGAAACGCCTTGCTCGGTTATTTTATACGAGCGTTTAGCATTTGCAGTAGCACCCTTGACGCCTCGAGTTAAAAAACTTTCACTGAGCGGGTAAAAACGCACAATGTTGTTGGCGTCCCATTGTCCAACCAGGACCATGGGAAGTAGGCATTCTGTTGTGGCGATGACAACAAGTGTTTTTTGTTAATCCAACATTAGCACAATTTCAATGTAGCCACTGTAAGCTGCAAGACATATTGAACAAGTTGTAGCCTCACCTAATTTCTAACATACAGGCTATTTGTTTAGCTAAACGACTAACTAACATTCTTTTCACCCCGTGTTGGTGAAAGAGGATTTTGCAGAGACTAAAAACAAACAGCTGATTCAGTGGTTGCCATCAAAACGCGCTCTGTCTAATCGACATCTACACTTGATCAATATGTTACAATGGATCTTAGTCAATAAAAAGCAAAATAAATTACAATAGGATTTGTATTTTTTTGTTATATGATTATATGCAACAGGGAAATAAGTATACAGTACAATAACTTGAGTACCAGCTAGTGTTAGGGTTTATTCAAACAAGAAGAATGATAGCAGAACAGATGATGTGTTATTTGTGACGGGTGTGGTAATGTTTCACTAATGAGAGTATAACATATTCTGAACTGTAATTAAACATGATTATCACCAGCAGAGAAGCATTATGGTACAAATGGGTTGATGTCATACTTTGACAGTGAAATACATCAGGGATGATGACAGGCTTTTTTTTGTAAGGGTTCATCTAAAACACTTCTTTTTTTTTATAACGCATTTTAAAAGAGAAACAATGTGTAT